ATTAGTGACCTAGGGGAGAAGAAGATTCAAATAGAGAATTTTGGGAGAGAAAGAAGCTCACGGACCAGAGTCCTTCTTTCTGAAACCTCTCTCTAGGTTTCTTTGAGAATGAGCTTATGAGGCTCTATTATCAGAGAAAGCCTTAAATATCCTTCCCTCTCTAGCATTCAGTAACCTTGAACCAACCTACTACGTCACACAGTCTATATTTATATTAATAATCATTTCATAAAATTTACAAAAAATTAATAAAATTATTAAAATGTTACAAAATATCATTTTTAATAACATTTTTAAAAATTTTGTCATTAATTAATATGTAAAATGTTGCTATATAAGTCTTTAATAACATGAATTATATTTTACATTTGATATAAAGTATTATAAAAGTATATTAGTAGCATCTATTAATAATTAAACAACATTTTTTAAGTGTGTCGCTAAAAATATATTATTGTAGTATGATTATGTCACAATTGATGTAGCAACCGAGTTAACAAACATGAGATGAATTGAATTATTGGTTAGGAATAATTTAGTGGTTAAAAGTTATGATAGAATGCCCAAGATTTCAAATTTAAATTTTGGTACTATCATTATAATTTTGATGATTTAAAAAAATATTGAATGAATTAAAAAAATAAAATGAGATGAATTAGTTAATTATAATCATATATGTTGGTCAAAGCTCCCAATTGACGATTTGAAGTTGAATTTAGACGCAACAATTCTCGGTAGATATTAATTTCTTTGGCTATGGGTATATGGCATATGCATCAGAGATATAATGGTTGCTTTATTATGGCTCCCATTTGACTTTTGTCATGATCTTTCTACTTCAATTGAAAGCAGAAGCATCAGATATATTTTTTGCAAATGCAAACGTGACTTAATGGATTGAATTTGTATAATATCATTATTTAAATTGATTGCAAGAAAATAATTGATAACTGCTGTTTATTTATTTTATTGGATATTTTGGAGTTTGGACAAATTATTTGTAATTAAGACAATAATTTCACATCTTCAACATATGTAGATGTGCGTTTCATTTGGAAATAAACTAATTAACCTGCTGATACTTCAGTAAGGGTGTCAAGATTATTCTCCAAGTCCTATGTTTTTTAAAATTGATTCTTGCTTATTTTGGGTATGTTTGTTTAAATTTAAAAATAAGTATTTTTAAATGATTATTTTTAAAAACAATTTTTCGTGTAGCAGATAAAAATTATTTCCTAAAAAAAGTTTTAAAAAAAATTGTGTATTTAAACACATAATTTTTTTTTTAAAAATGCTTATTTATTAAAAAGAAGCGTTAAACAAAAAGACTCTTTATTCAATTTTGCTACGAATGAAATGATATAGTTTTTTATATAAAAAAAATAATGAATTTATAAACACTTTTGACAATGAGTCAATGACTGTAGAAGAGAATACAGAAAGTCAACGCTTCCTCAGTGGAATTGGAATGGATATACTTTGAGGTGCATTATCCATGTAATGAAAAAAAAAAAAAAAAAAAAACTCAACGGAAGTTCCCAATTTATTAACTCAATCCAATCACTGGGCATGACTGTGGTTCGTGGCTTTACACAAACACGAAGAGAACATTGAAATAGAAAGAAGAAAAAATGATAACAGTTCTATATCCTAACTAGCAGTGACAATCATTTTCTTTGATCATATTTGAAAACTTTATAAAGGAGAATATATATTACCCTTTTTTAATCTCAATTTTTTTTACAAATCTTTTCTATTTAGAAGGTAAAACGCACTTATTTGTTGTCTTTTTGTCTACGTGCATGAAACGACATGTTCATATTTCAATGCCTTCATATTCCAAGACACATGTTACATACTAGTTAGAAAATGTACAATTTCACATAAGACAGCATCTAAAGGCTGCAAGAGTAAAATTATGTGAATAATGGGAATACATAAGAAAATTTTCTTACTAAATAATTAAAAAAATACTAGAGAAAAAACATTTGACCTGATAAACAATTAAGGTTTTTGCCATGAAAAAGAAAACATTGCCTCATAATATATTGGAAAACTTTTTCATTAATATATCCTTTTGTTCTTATGATTGGAAGACATCCATTTCTACACTAAAATAATAATATAATAATAGTAATGTGTATTAGATTGTACTGAAATTTAATTTACAATCCTTAACAGATTTATTTTCTTGTGTTACAAGACGAGTTTTTTTATTCAAATAATACTATTTTAAAAAAAATTACTGAAATAACAACTGTGTAAATTTATTTCTCCAATTAACATCATTTACTACTGTTCACGTTCAGAACGGACCGTTCTGAAACCAGAATGGGCCGTTCCAGATTAAAAAATAACACATGACGAATGAATTAGAACAGACCGTTCCAGATTCAAAATTAGCACATAAAAAGTGGAACAGGCCGTTCTGGCCTATAAAAAAAATTGTTCAATTTTTACTTATCAAATACCAAAACTCAGAAACTAATATCAAATAATTAAATTTATTGAATATTAACATTATAAATATAAATAAATAAATTTATTAAAATTCAATACAACAATAAAGATCAATGGTGGCTGAAACTGAATTCATGACCAATATTTGGATATGTCTTTCTAGTGTGACTAGGGGTGTGATAATAGAAACAATTTTTGATTTAGCCTTACTGTAAATCTCCTAGCAGGTCATGCGAGCAAGGGATATGAACTTTTTGGAACTTGTCGCAATCATACCACATTTCATTTAGCCTTACTGTGAATCTCCTAGCAGGTCAAACTTCTCTAAGATTTCGTGTTTCTTCCAACTTTGTGGCTAAATCTAGAACTTAAGAGAACTTTCAAGGGTCGGTCAAAGTCCAGCAGGATTAGAACAGAGATGGACATTAGAGAATAGCATAATTGTGTAAAAAATTGTTCCTATTGTCACACCCCTGGTCACACTAGGAAGACATATCCAAATATTGGTCATGAATTCAGTTTCTGCCACCATTGATTTTTATTGTTGTAATGAATTTTAATAAATTTATTTAGTTATATTTATAATGTTAATATTCAATAAATTTAATCACTTGATGGTAGTCTCTGAGTTTTGGTATTTGATAAGTGAAAATAAAAAAAATGGTCTGAATCTGTAGGCCAGAAAAGCCCGTTCCGAATTCAGAACGGTCAGTTCTAGTTCCACTTTTTGTGTGCTAATTTGGAATTTGAAACGATGCCGTTCTGATCCATTCTCCATGTGTTATTTTTTAATCTGGAACGACCCGTTTTAAACGTGAACGGTAAATGGTGCTAGTTGGAGAAATAAATTTGTACAGTTATTATTTCGGTAATTTTTTTTAAAAATAATATTATTTGAATAAAAAATTCATTACAAGACTTAGTTAAGATGAAAATGTAACACTTTTGTAGCGATTAACATTAAATAATTAATATTAATAGAATAAAATCATTAATTAGTATAATGATGCCCGTTCAACTTTTCAGCTATGCATCATTTCAATTTCAACTTTCTAATTCTCCATTGTCATTAAATAATTCGAAGAAAATAAGCATTCTTAAGCTAACGGTTGCTTCAATATATATATATATATATATATAT